GTGAATAACGGGGTCAAGTGGCCAACAAATAGTTAAGATGACCGTGGTATGTCCTCCACTTCGTTGACAATTCTCAGGTTGCGGATAAAGTATCAACTCGAGGAGGAGATAATTTACTTCTCTCGAAGGCCTTCCATCCAAAAGTTCACTTTTTGACGGTAACAGCGAGTAATAGCGACCTTCATCGGAACGTCGCCAATAAGTCTCAAGCTTTGATTGAATCACACCTCAGTTCGTTATTCCTTGTAATTGTCTTTATTATTGGCTGTCCGTGGAATTTTAGTTGATGGTAAGTTTCTAATGATTCTTGTTTCTTTTTGCTTAGTAACTTTTTAAGCCCATTTCCTGGACGGAACATTAGGCACTGTTAACCTGTTAACCTGTTTCCCGGAGACTTCTCGGTTGCCCCATTTCTTTGTTCGATGGCCGTGTTATTGCTTAATCTTGCATTCGCTTCCTATTTACCAGTGCTCAGGTCGAATGATTCTATCCTTCAACTTTCTTCTGCACTAATTTTAGGCAGGTCTGATCAGGACCAAGCCGTTTCTGAGTCCACTGTTTGTGGCAGTGATTTCTGTATGATGCAAGTTTCAGTGCTGGAGGTTATTATTATGGGTTATTTGACTGACTTATCGATTATGTTTGTATTTCGGTCTTTTGCAGAAAGCCGAGGAACTATCGCCTGAGGTCAGCAGTGGTCATGCAGTCGATGGCGATGTGCATGTGTGTAAACAGTCTATCTTTACTTTCTACGATTTTTCCCATTATCAAATGAGCAAAATTTGCAGTTTGCTAGAATTTGAAGGCCATCTTCGTTAAAGTTGTATCATTAGGCAAACGACAACCACTTCGTTTGAAATGGCAATAAAATTATGTTTGCCCAGAAATTCATCTGTGACCATAACGAACATGGAATTCATCTGTAATATTATTCGATTACACATATGGTCACGGCGTAACATTCGCAGAACATTTTTTTAGCAACCCGCTCCATGTGAATCCAGCCCCGTACCATCTGTGTCTCCATCCGATGATTCACCTAGCAAAGAAAGTAAGTCTAGTATTTACTAACTTGGCATTGGTTGTAGCAGCTGTTATGTAACAAACGCTTGTCTTATTTAGAAAAGAAAAAGAAACATCCCGATATGCCTCGTTACGCTGACAAATTCCAATATAAAAAGCTTACACCTAGTCCATCATCGTGAGTTATTTGCTTTTTGTCGACAATAATTTCTCATTGAAGGAGATTTTAGGATGGGCGAAAATTATTGTATTGTGCGCGCTTGCGAGGCTTCTTTGATCCTTTTTAGAAACTAGGGAGCCTCTCTGAAGTGCCGACTCTGGGCCACCCACTGACGTCGCCCGATATAATTCTAAGCGATTGTGCGACCGCTCCCGCAGCAAGCAAAATAGTTCAGTCTGTGAGCTGGTCAAAAACGTTGTACAGTAATTCATGATCCCGCTCGACTAATGAGTCCATGGAAAGCTGGGATCAGAAGCCTGTGCAAATCGTTCAGGAATTGGGAATCTACGGGATGCTCTCGAAAGGGTCCGAGATGAATTTAAAGACACTGCTAACCTGCTTAGACACCTTCTCCAGAAGCCTCTACAAGTGACTCAAGGCCCAACCTTAAAACTGATGGAAGTTGATGCGAATTCAAATGTTAATATTGATCTTATTAAATAGTTAAATGTTGTTTGTAATCGAGCTTATGATTTATCTTTTGTATTCGTAATTTTCCGGGTACCGGTAGGATGCACCTACCATGTAGAGTAGATAGATCAGAGGCGAAGACTTTTCATTTTTCAGTTGTCCGAAGAAGATTCCAGAGGCTGAACAGGCTCAGAAGCAACCTTCTCTTGTTCAGGCACAAGACAGTTCGACTCCCTGTAGTGTTGAAATGTAGTCCATTGTTCAGTATCTCTTCATTATTCTTATTATCTTCAGTTAGTTGGGACATTTACGCGACTATTTTCCTTAGTAAATGGATTGTTCACATTCAGGATGCAAAGGAGGGTGAAGGTTGAGCCGCTTTCAGAGGATGAGTGCAACAGCTCTCCAAATACCTGCAGGAGGTCGTTAGTTTCACTGGATGGTTACTTTTTTGAAATTCTCAAAATAAACTCGGCTGCTATATCACAAATTTTATAATGTTGACCAAGGATATGTAATCTTGAGACTTGATATTTGTCGTGCTTATCGTATATGCAGATATTAGCCCAGACCCCCGCAACAGGAGTGAGTATTTGAGAAAATGACCGCTGGTGATTATTAGGATTTCTTGCAACTACTGCGGGGCGGTGTCATTCAGTCCTGAAGAAATAGGGGTGCTTAAGTGGGCGCAGCCGTGTTCCCGTTCGGTTGGCTGGAAGACCACTCACAGACAGTGAAAGTCTGTGATCCGCTGTCTGTGGGAGGCGCATGTAAACTGATGCTTTTTTCAAAAGTGGTGTAGTGGCATGGTCCAGTAGTCGAATCCTGGGTCCTACGCCGACATTCCCACCAAGTCAGCATACCTCCGTAGTCGGTTAATTGCTACCAGATGGTTGGCTCGTGCAATTTGTATTGGCCAAATCGCATCTTCGATACAGAAAGCTAATTACTAGTTTGTCATGAAAGTCTTTGTGCATTTATTTTTTTATTTTTCAAATCTTTGCGGACCTGTTTGGAATCTGTTTCATAACATTCATTGAAAAGCGTGTGTGAGCGGCGGTCATACTCCTCAAGGCATTTCTACCGTAGTACATATTTGGCAGCGATTATAGCTGACAATCGTCTCCTTCGAAAGCATGTTCCACTGCTCCCTATAAACCTAGAAAGCACGTCGATGGAGGGAGTGGCAAGAATCCTTTGTATTGGGGTGGATTGTCTTCCGCAACATGGAGTTATTTGGCTAC